GTATGACCTCCCCCCCACGCTCCCCCCCACCCCCATGCATGCGTGTGAATCCCGCGCGCCCTGTTTTGGGCCTAGCAGGCCTCCCTACAGCCTCCAGGGACTCAAAACAGGCTGTGGGGAGGCACTGCACCATATGCTAAATAAATGAAAATATCTATATGGTTAGAAACTTACTTGTGAACAAACAAAATTGTTTATGCAGCTTTTTTTGATATTTTTGTTTAGCAGTATTGCCTGATTCTGAACATAATTTTATCTATATCTTTTTGAAACAAATTTGTATCTAACTCAATAGCTGACTGGATTTAAAAGCAATTCATACTCAAGTATTTCTTCTGTTCACCAATTTATTTATTTTTGCAAATGCCTAGTTAAAAGTTGCCCCTAAGTATCCTTGTATCAATCAGCTCAGGATAATGTGCAGATTAGAAATGAGTTATCATTGTTTTATTAAGGATCGTGTTATGGAGCTTCTAATACGCATAGCTGCTTATTTGGGTAAACTAAATCACAATTTTTTCACTTGGGTGCAGCTAATGAAAAATTATCTGACAAAACTGATCTCTAGAAATTGTCACAACAATTGGATTTCCACACAAATGCCTGTAAATTCTATTTGATTGAAAATAGGCCTCTTTTCTTGTACTCAGTGGTTTTGTTGTTATTGTAAACAGTTGCCATAGATGAAACCATCAAAGGCAAGGTGTTTAATTTGCTTTTTCTGATTATTTATCTTGGAGGATTACCTGTTTCACAAGAAACTCCATATTAATTGGACAGGGGCGAATTGAACTAATGAAAAAGCAAAAGATCCATGCTTGCTTTCAAAAGATAATATTAATTCTGTATCTTGAAGCCATATGGCGGTGTTTTATTATAGCTCTTCATGTTTAACCCATTTTTTTGTTCTGGGATAAAAATACTTCGAACTGAACTGAATCTCATCTGTTTTGTTTGTGTTGCCATATAAGCACTAGATCTAATTCCCTCAAGTATTCTTGTTTTATTCATCTAGTGGAGCTAAGTAACACGTTGGATAAATGATACAAGAACAAATATATTCATGCTGAAACAGTGCTAAAATTAAAATCAAGAGAGGTTTGAGACAAAAACAATATTCTGTCTCTGAGAAAACTCCTTGCTTATTTTAAGGTTCGTAGAAAGAAGCCGAACTGTAGCACCTGGTCTATAAAAATCATCACGGTTGATTTGCCGAGTCCTCAGCATTAATGCTATATGGGACTGTCCTTTGTTTACTGTAGATCTGCCATCACTCTTCCTTAAATCTTAAGTTTTTTTGCAATTATTCAGGTTGTATTTCTAATTTTTGAAAGATTGATATACTAAAAGAGTAGCTTTTCCCCCCTTCCGTGGTTATGTAGAAATGGCTTTGCAGTAAGTAAATAGCGGTTCTGCTCACTCAGATGCACTGGGTTTTTTGTTCATTTTACCTATGTAATTACTTTGTGTCCTCCATTCTATTCTGGAAAAGCAAATGAGACAAAAGAAAAATGCTTCCTGACCTATCTAAACAAAAGTGCTGTCTTTTAAGTCAGTTGAGAATGTGGTTTTAAATTTGGGGAACTCACAGCATCCATCACCATTAGTCACTCTGGCTGGGATGAAGGAAGTTGCAGTTCAACATCCAAACTTCTCTTATCCCTTTGCTAAGTCAAAGCCACTATAATATACAGTCTCATCCCTGGAATTCACCAATTATGGCTGTGTGTGGTGCTGGTTGTTAAGTAGGTCACCTCATTACACTCCCCATTGAATGACCTTTTTTGTGGCGGTTGTTAAAGGAATCAGCATAGTTGTTAAATGAATCCCAGAAGGCAGAAATAAATGCTGATTTCCAGCAAAAAACATTGTAAGTCGCAATTATGTGACCTGGGACGCTGCACATACCGGTAGTAATAAATGCAAGCCGGTTGTTGAGCCTCCAAAAGGCAACCACATGACTGCAGGGGGACACCATCAGAACTCCAAATCCAGGTTTTAAGTAGCCCTAGGGAGATCTGTCATAAATTCAAAAGATCATTATTCAACCAATTGTAAGTTGAGGACTACCTATATAATTCTGAAGGTTTCCTTATTGTCACAGAGATCATATAACAACTTTCTGAAAGAAATACAGTTAGTCCTCAGTCTACAAGAGTTCATTGTGTGACCATTCAGAGTTACAACAACACTGGAAAAAGGGACTTCTGACCATTTTTCACGGGACCTTTGCAGCATCCCCATGGTCACGTGATCAGAATTCAGATGCTTGGCAGCTGAACTCACGATGGTTGCAGTGTCCCTGGGCCATGTGATCATCTTTTGTGACCTTCTTCCAAGCAAAGTCAATGGGGAAGTCAGATTCACTTAACAATCGTGTTACTAACTTAACAACTGCAGTGATTCACTTAACAACTGTTGCAAGAAAGATCACAAAAATGGAGCAAAATTCACTCAAGAACTGTCTTGCTTAGCATCAGAAATAGTGGGTTCCATTGTGGTCGTAAGTCGAGGACTACCTATAGAAACAAAGCCAAGGAATATCTATAAACTGTCAGCTTTTTACATTCCAAATAAATGTTGAAACTGATCCCCGCTAGCAATACCCCTTTTTGCAATTAGTTGCCTGCATCTAGGAATTTCTAAATGTTCATTATGGTCTTAATATAGTGTTTTACTGCTTCGGCAATGCCTTTTCAATTGCAGAAAAGAAAGTAAGTTTCTAGTTGTAAACACAAATAGATCATAGTAGTACCATCATGTTTCGCTTTTATCATTTAATATATTAATTGCTGCTGGACCTGTTTATTTTCCAGGAATTACACTATACTGAGGAAGAATTGTACAGGACAAAGAATTCTCTGCAAAGCCGAATAACAGATAGAGAAGAGGAGATTCAGAAACTAAGAAATCAGGTAATGGATTAACTTAACAATTTTACAGTCAACATACATTTCTGAACAAGCCACAATTTTTAACCATGCCCCTGTAACATCGCACCAGCTAACCTTGAAGTGAAATTGGCTCAACTATTGGATTTCTTTCAAATTATGATATTTATCATTTCTAGATAAAAATAATTAAAAAGAAAAAACGTAAAATAAAGGGTACAAAGACAGTTAAATGGCAATCACTTTATTTCAAAGTTATGCCATCTCAGGGAGATCATTCTTTGGAGGCAAAGCTAATGGAGTATATATCCAACATTTCGATTTATGCTCCCAGATTGACAACGTTTTAACACAAAAATGAATGTGTTCACTTCTCTTTTTTCTGCTAAACCTGACCTCTCATATTTAGGTTGGTGGTGGAAATGCTGGGTAGAGCCTGCTGTGTGGAATCTGCTCACCTTTATGCAGTCCAGTGCCACTTTTCTGTGCCAAGCTTTTTCCAAAAATGGGTGAAGGAATGAGACCTGTCAAATTCTGCTGCCTAATAGCAATTTGCGCCTCTTTGGTAGCAAGTCCTGATCCTTCCCCCACTCCCAGCTTTTCCAAGGGAAAGAACCAGCAGTGGGATTCATTTACCTTCCCTACCGGTTCGCAAATGTGGGTGCAAATGTGTGCTTCACTCGAACTCTTCACATCTGTGCATGTGCACTGCCTTCTGCACATGCACAGTGCTCACACATTAGATCGGGCAGGTGGGCAGAGCCTCCCACAATCGCCGCTACCGGTTCGCCCAAATACCACCTCTGGAAAGAACACCGGGCTGTGTGCTTCATTCTAAAGCAAGACTTAGAGCAAAATGCAAGGGAAGGCATTTAGTTCAGTCCACACTCATTCCAATGAAGATGCTTACTCGTTTCCTCTTCCAATGTTACTTTGTTCACTCTGCAGCTAACGAACAAAACATTGAGCAGCAGTAGCCAAACAGAGTTAGAAAATCGTCTGCATCAATTGACAGAGACACTAATTCAGAAACAAACCATGCTGGAGAATCTCAGCACAGAAAAAAATGCTTTGGTCTATCAACTGGAACGACTGGAGCAGCAGCTGAAGGCTGTCCAGGGAGCTTCCACCAATGGCTCCTCCATTAATATGGCAGGAATTGACAACAGCGAAGGTAAAATGAGGAATGAACTGTTTATCGTGAGAGAATGTATATCCTGATAGATTGGAAAGCTTAACACAGTGTTTCTCAACCTTGGCAAGTTTAAGATGGTGGACTTCAACTTCCAGAATAACCCCAACCAGCTGCGCTGGGGAATTCTGGAGTTGAAGTCCACCCATCTTAAACTTGCCAAGGTTGAGAAACACTGGCTTAACACGTTTATGTTGATGTTCCTGCCATGACACCAATCAGTCCTTCCAATCAACCATCCTCCATTCCATTCCTTTATTCATAGTTTCCTCTTTTTTTTTCCTTTCAACAACCTCTGAGATTCTCCAGCATGGTTTGTTTCTGAATTAGTGTCTCTGTCAATTGATGCAGACGATTTTCTAACTCTGTTTGGCTACTGCTGCTCAATGTTTTGTTCGTT